TGGCCTCTAATCATTTTTCTCAGGGGTGACTTCCTGCTACTGGCTGCCTCCCAAGCCCTCAGAGGCAGGGGTGCCCCAAGTTCCTTAGGCGTCCTGAATGCCATCTAGCTCGTGGCTGACTTGGTCCCACAGAACTCCATGGCCAGTCAGTGAGCCAGCACCCTGTAATCTTGCTCTCAGCTGGCAGGAACTGGGCACCCCGGGAAATGTCTACACCCTACTTGGGAGGGCTGCCTCAGGACCAGAGTGGGAACCAGTTGGGTTGCCTGATCTTGGCTCCAGTGCCGGGAGGACCTGACCATCTTTTATCTTTGCCAGGTTTGTGGCCAGGCATGTAGGTCCTGACATGGGGACCTCCAGGCTACTCTCAGAAGAGAGGTGAGAAACATCCTGGCACTTGGAGTCAGGGCCCGGCCCAAATTCTGGGGCTGCCACTGAGCCCCTGTGTCACTTGGGGTGTTGTTTCTCAGAGCCTGTTTTCTTCTCTGAAAAGTACTGCCTGCTGCTCGGGGGCCATGTGAGGCTCACACGTGATGATGAATGGACTGTCTGTCTACAACCCACTGCAGAGATGTGCATTAAAACACTTTATTCTATCAGAGCTTCTGCTCTCCATTTCTCTCCTGTCTCCCTCTCTCTCACATGGGATCTCCTCGGGGTCCGAACTTTGGACCCAGTGGGCGGAAGGCCCAAGAGGGTCAGCAGAGCACGCCCCGAGGTGCCCAACCTCTCCGGGTGATGCTCGGACCCCGCCCTTCTGTCCTGCCCACCCCGTCATCACCTCGACAGCCATTTTCCTTAGTGTGGGCTGGATGCTCTTGGGGAGTGTGTAGATCCCATTCTTCCAGGGAACACTTAAGACTGGCAGCTTCTGTCTGAGACTCTGAAGGGATGAGGGCGAGAGCAGGGAGCATGAGGCCCCGCTGGACTGGTTCTCCTGTCCCCCATTCCCCACTCCAGGAGGGCTCAGCTGAGGCAGTCCTGGAGCCCTGTGGGCAGAAGCTGGCAGGGGAGTTAGGGAGAGGTTGGGTAGGCTGGCCCCACCAAACTCAGTGTACTGGTTCCCAGGCCCCAGAGCTTTCCTGAGGGGCTGGAGGTGGGGACTGCTGGTTGTGGGAATGCGGGGCAGGGTGGGGGCGCTGAGCATCACACTTCCCAGCCAGGACCTCTCTCCCAGCACCTCAGTCTCAAGGATGAGCTCACAGGACGCCAAGATCTCGCCTTCCTCGTCCTCTAACCCTTTTACAAGGGGGTGCCACCTCATGGGGGGCAGGATCCGGTTTTGCACATCCAGCCAGACCACCGGGGACCACATGCTCCGTCCCCACAGGCTCTCCTTGCCCTGGAAGGAAGGGGAAGTTTACAAAACGCGGAGGCTGCGCTGGCAGAGTTGTGGCTCCTCCTGGAAGCCTGGCAGCCCTAGGGTAAGGGCTGACTTGAGCGCGTGACACCACTGCGAATTGGGCACTTTGTGAAAATCCTCCCGAGGTGACACTCCTCGGAGCTCTGCCCCACCCAGCCCGCGGTACCTGGGAGTCTCGCTGCCACAATTCCAACACTACAAGTGGGGGTCTCTCTTTGGTGTCCTGGGGGTCCTCGTACAGGAGGAGGTGCTGGAAGATGAGCGTCTGGGCCCACGTTGGGGCTGCAGAGCTCCTCAGGGTTTGGGTGCGCTGGCTGTGGTTCAAGAAGACCAGCCGAATGAAGGGCCCTGGGGGTGGAAGGGGAGGAGAGTGGTGCCTTTGCACTGTCAAGTGAGGCTCTGCTCTCCTCTGCTGCTGCCACCGCTGGACCAGGTACCCTGGGCAGCTCAGGCTGGGCAGCCTTAGCCACTCCAGCTGCCCAGGAGGCCACCTCAGTATAAGTCACAGAGCAGATGGGCACGGAGCCAGAGGCCATCCGTGTCTGTCTTACACTCTCACAGTTGGGGCCCGGGTGGCACAGACATGGAGGGGGTCTGGGGACCAGGCTCCCTGTGGCTGCCCTTCCACAGCATCAGTCAGTGGCCTTGGCATCAAGGAACATCGTGTGTCCCCCTTGATGTGGGTGCTGACGCCCAGCGGAGACAGCTCCCAGCAGACGCCTCATCCAGCAGGCTCGGACCCTCATCCAGCAACCTGGATCCCGACCACCAGGGCCACTACCAGCCCAGGAGGGGAGCATCTGACTCACCAGAACCCTCCCACGGGTCCTCCACACAGGGCCGGAAATTGCCACACCTCCTCCCCTCCCTTCATCTTCTCTCTAACTCGAGAGACAAGTGGTTGCCAAGCATGTCATCCTCTTTCTTGCCCTCGTCTCACCCTCCTCTGCCTGCAAACTTCTCCTGCCTCTTCAAGGCTCAGCTAAATGGTCTCCACTGGGCTGAAGCCCCCCCCATTGTTGATTCCACGGGGTTGGGGACACACCTCAAGAGCAGCCCTGCCTTATATTCCTTGTTTTTGCATCTTTTTCCCAAACGAGGGCCGTGAGCTGCTGGGGACGAGGGGCTGCTTGTTTGTCACTCCCCTCCTTACCACATCCCTTGTACTGCTGGAGGGGTACATCGAGGGGCCCCTGGGAAGCTGGGGGAGAAAAGGGGCCCACGCCTACCCTGGAACGTCTGGATCTGGTTGGACATAAGGTTGCGGGCCTGGTAGATGTAGCAGAAGAGCTGGTAGTAATGGGGCCCTGGGACAGAGAGGAGCCGTGTCTGCCAGCTGCCCCCAGGATCCTCACCCACTGCCCCCTGCCCTCAGGTCCTGGGCCCCCGGGGCCACCTCTGCAGACTCTCAGTTGGATGCTCACTGTTGAAGACGCAGTAGATGAAGGGCAGGTTGGGGGGCTGGGTGATCTCCGCAGGAGCCCTCTGGGAGCTCCGGATTCTGCCCAGTGTCCGTGACGACGACACCTTGTTCACTTCCCTCTCTGTTTGCTGTTCTAGATCTTTACCCTGTGCCCAGGACAGACTCCCTGAGGCTCTTGGGTGCTTTTCCTGTGTCATCTAGCCCAGGCCCAGGTCACCCTTCTCCCCATCCAAAGCCCAGGGGTGTGGATCTGGGGCCTAGGTTCCCCCACCCACAGCGGTCAGTGCATCTGACCACCTGAGGCATCTCTGGCTGACTGCCACACCAGGTGGGGCCCTGGCTCCGGGAGGTGGGGTGACAGGGCAAGCACCTAGCCCGTGGGGCTTTACCAAGGATCCCTCCAGGAGGAATATGGGTGCAATGCCCTTGACCTTGTTGGGGGCCAGCCTGCGGTGCCAGCAGCGGCGGCGGAAACGGCTCTGGGGCTGAGGGTTCAGGTGGAACTTGGAGCCAAAGACACCGTACTCCCAGCCCATCTCGTCCTCAGCCAGGCCAGGGTGGTGCTGCAGCGGAGAGAGCTGAGTCGCCCTCTCACTACGGCGCATGGTGGGGCCCGCCCAGGATCCTGCCCGGTCTCTGCCCAGGCGGCCCCTCACCAGCTGCAGGAAGGACAGGGTCTCCTGCTCGTGGCTCAGTCCCCCGTGGTTCCGGTAGCGCATCCGCACCCAGCGCCGCCGCCGGCGTGAGTAATAGGTCTTCTCTACTGAGTTCCAGACTTTGGGCAGGCCCGAGGGCTGGATCCCCACTCCGTACTCCCAGCCTGTGGGGCCAGGGATGGCCCGTGGGTGCCCAGGGGCCTACAGCCTTGGAGGCTTGGACAGGCCTGCGAAATGGACCCAGAAGTGCAGGCCAAGGTGCCAGAGAAGAACCTTCCTTCTACAAAGGGAGGTGCAGTCACACTGTGTCACCTGGATGGCCTGGTCCCAACTGCCCATCTTACAGATGAGGAAAGTGAGGCTCAGAGATGTCCCAGGACTTGCACAAGGGCACAGGGCCCGTAAGTAGCAGAGGCTGTGTCTCAAGCCCAGGTCTTCCGACTTCCAGCCCATTGCTCCCTCCCTGGAGCCCCTGGGGTGAACCCAGGCTCTAGGACCAGATCCTGGTTCCCATGCTTACCACCTGCCCTGCCTCGGAACCAGGGCCCACTCTCTGGAGGCTGGGGACCCCCAGAAACTCAGGCCCACCGCACTCAGAGCTTGTTTGTTTTCAGCTCCAGACCCCTCCTCAGCCCCTGACCAGAGGACTGACCCTCATTGTCCACCGCGTGGTTCAGGTCCACAGCCCAGTTCCTGTTCACATGCCAGCCCTGGGGGCACTTCATATTCTTCCGGGCCTCCATGGGCTCTCCATCCTGTGGGTGGGCACAGAAGGGGGCCGAGGGCCGTTCTGCTCACCTACCATGGCCATGGTGGCCGCCCATCTGCAGGAGCTGACAGCGCTGTGATGTCGGATGCCACCCACGTGTTCATTTACTATAGATGAAAAATAACCATACTAATGACCGTGAAAGCAACATAGTATGACCGACTCTCAGCTGGATGCTGCTGGCTGCCCAGGCCCAAGTCGGCTCTGTCCTCGAGGAGGGGACACCAGCATGTGTGAGAGATGGGTTAAACCATCACTGTCCGATCAGGGGCCACCAGCCTCTTGGGGCTACTTAAATTTAAATTAACTAAAATGAAACAAAATTCAAAGTTCAGTTCCTCACGCTCACACATGTGGACAGTGAAGATAACATTTGCACCATCACAGACGGTTCTGTTGGACAGCGCTAGCTTAGACGACCCCAAATGGATTCTCTCCTTCAGAGTAAAAGCGCCACATTGAAAGGCAAAAGGAGACAGCGCTGACACTTGACCTTCTGGGCTTAAGTAGGGTTTCTCTTCCTGCCATCTTGGGATCCAAACCCCATCAAGGCTCGGCCAGGGTCCCCTCAGTGTGTGGGGAGTAGGGCTCAGACGATAATCCCTGATCTGGTGCTCCTTCCACTGAGACAACCTAGCTTCCCAGGTGCCCACCAGGTTGCATGGCTGGCCCGCCAACACCGCTGCTCACCGCGTCCGTGTTGGGGACAGCAGCAGGCACCCAGGCCCCCGTCGCATCTCGGTGTTGGTTCTCGTACACCTCCTCCAGCACCTGGCTCTTGTTGATGTCTGTGTCCAGGAGGAGTCTGGGGACAGTGCGACCTCACGTTCCCAGCACGTCTCCCTGAACTTGCAGGTCCCTGGGGGCCTCTTCTACTGACCACGCACTCTCGTGCTTGGTCGCCCCCCTGCTCTGGGAAAGGCTCAGTGGTGGGGCCTGGCATGCAGGGTAGGGTGGTGGGCAGGCTCCCTGTCTTGTGCGCTCCAGCCCCCGGGACTAAGTGGCAGTGGCTGTGTGCCCAACTCTCTGAGCTGCTGCTCATTGGCCCTCCCGGGTGAAAACAGGTCCCAACTCCAGAGCTGCATGCCCAGGGACACACAGGCCCCAGCCCCACACCCCAGCCTTACCTCCTCTGAGGCTCCACTGTCCACTGTCCCTGCCAGTGCCACTCGGGGGGCTCCTTGAAATCCTCCTTAGGGAGGGTCTTGTGCCCCATGACGTCCGAGAAGTTGGGGCAGCGGCGCAGCCCTTGCTGCCCCCACTGGTCTTTGAACTTGGCCTGGTTCTCGTACTGGGGGAGGGGAGGCCATCAGTGCCTGCTGCCCCCCACTCAGCACACCCACAGCCCACCCTAGGATCCCCATGCTAGGCTGCAGGCACCTCCTAGAAACCGGTATTCAGACAAGAAAGGGCAATGTGGCCCCTACGCCGTGGCCAGGAACCTGTGTTGTTGCTCATGCAGGCTGCACTGTCCCCACCATCAATCAGCATGGGTGGCCTCCGCTCCTCAAACGCTCACTATGGCCAGGCCCTTGCCAAGGGCATTGCATGAACTCTCCGCTATCATCTGCACACTCCCATTTCACAGGTGAGGAGACTGAGGCTCAGAGGTCACCTCGAACCAAGGTTGCTCAGATATCAAGTAGTAGAATAGGGTGGGTGTGAGAGCCTGGTGGCAACTGCGATGTGACCTGCTGACCCGGGGAACCCAGTCTTGTTCCACCACTGCCCCGTCTTCACTGCCTCTGGGTCCTTCTCCCTGCTGGGCATGCGGCCCTTGCTCCCCGCACTCATCCTAAATCCGGCTCCATCTCAGTGCCCGCAGGCCCTGCAATCTATCCATTCACAACACGCAACTTAGGAATCATAAAATATATTTTAGCTCAGTAAATTAAAAGCCTGAAACTTTCTAAAGTTATTTCCTTTCTGCTCTGAGGACCTTCTGAGCTGCGTCCTCCCCTCCTCTGATCATAGCACAGCCCTTGGTCAGCTGCTCACCCACCCCTGGGTTTATGGTTCTGTGGGAAGCGGCCTCATTCCCTGCTCCTTTGACTGTTGCAGGCCTCCCCCTCCCCAGGGCCACCAGGCTGGCCTGCAGGACCCAGCTGGCATGGGCAGGGGTCTGGAGCTGCCAGGTTGCTGACAGACGAGGCCCCCTGCAAGCCGGACCCTTGCTCACCTCACGTCCTGAGCTAACCGGGAGGCACTCCTAACAAGCCTCCGTCCGGGTGGGAGTGACCGGCCCCAGGGGACCACTCAGCCGCCCTCCTGTCACCTCATGACTGCAGCTTGTCGACAAAAGACTGCTTTCCTCTCTGCCACGTCTCTCTATCAGAGCCCCTTTCACAGCTCTCAGATTCTGCCGGGGACGTTTTCCTCCGCCTTCGGAACTGGGCTACTAGGGTGTCACCCCACCGACTGCCCCAGCCCCAGCCTGGCTCACCGTCTCCGCGTACACGACCACGTCGCCCTGGCGGAGCAGCTGCAGATCCTTGCTGTCCTTCACGTTGCCGAGCCACATGCAGACCCGGAGCTGGCCCGGGAGCGTGTCCTTCTGTCCTTCACCCTCTGGGTACTGAGTCGAAGGCAGGTCAGCAAACCCCCAGGGGCAGGGGTAGGGGTGAGAGAGGGGCACACACACCTGCCCCTTCACCCTGAGCCCTGGGAGCAGCGGCCTCACGGTGAGCTGGGGCACAACAGAGAGGCTGGTGTGGGGTGGCAGGGAGAGGGGCAGCGCCGCCCAGGGAATCTGGGATGGCTCCATGGAGGAGCGGTGCTGATGGCGGCATTGACAGTGATGCTTGCTATGACCCCAGGCTCTGTGCTGCGTGCTGCATGTGCAGTGTATGCTCTGATCCCACTCACCACCATGAGGTGGGCATCATTATCACCAGGCCCATTTCACAGAGGGGCAGACTGAGGCCTGGACATGGCCAGGTGTTGGCCCTGGCTCACACAAGCCAGTGAGTGGTAGAGCCAAGATTCGGTCTCAGCAGTTCTTGCAGGATGAGAAGCACTCAGATGGGCATGGGAGGGGGCTTCCACGATGATTGAAAGGGCAATAGGGAGCCAGGGGCGTCTCTGAGAGGGAAGGAGTGAGTGCCTCCCACTTGCCTCCTTTCAGGGAGTGGGGCTGTGGTCAGTTAACCTTATTTATGGCTTGTATCCAATATGATGGGCTGGTGCCCAACCCTTATACATGTTAAATATTTAGATTGCACCCAGTCACGGTCCAGGGGAGAGATGACAGGGACTGGACCAAGCGAGGGTGAGGTTGATGAGGCAGACGGATTTGAGGAACGTTTATGAGGGACATAGACTTGGCTTCGCCTCATGCTGATGTTCCCAGGCCCCCATCTTCCTTTGGATACTGTTTAAACCCCATTTCACCTGGTAAAGGGCCTGGCAGAGAGGAAGTGGGCCTGCCCTCGGGAGGGCTCATGGGGGCTGCCCGGGAGTTCAGGGCTTCTCCCTCGGGATGTCCTGGGCCCTCTCCTCCCCTGCGGACCCCCGGCCTCCCCACCTGCAGGAAGAGGGTCTGTGTCTTCCCACAGAACCTGCCGCAGTGCAGGGCCCCGGTCGGGGAGAACAGGATGCTGTGGGCGGGCACCTGTGCGTAAGCCACGCGCTGCTCTTGGGATATCAGCCAGATCATCACATCAGGGAGGCTCACCTGGGGCTGCCAGACGGGAGAGCGTCAGGCCCACGTACCGGCCCCAGGACCTGCTCTCTGGCCAGCATGTCCAGCGCTCACCTCAGGGAGTACGGCGTTGAGGCGGTACAGCCAGCCCTCCACGGTGGCCACCATGTCCCTGGGCTGGGCTTCCTTGGCCTTTTGGGCCAGTTCCCGCAGAAGGAGGCTGCGGAGCTGCCACCTCTTCTTGTCCAGGTTAGTGGCTTTGGGCTGATTGGTCATGCAGGGCAGAGGGCGCCTGTGGACAAACCAGGAGGGAGGGGGCTGGGCCTCTCCCATCTCACCACCTCGCGACCTCCCACCCCATATCAGTGCCCTTCTTAGACCTGAGGTCCTGCTCCACTCCTGCTGGCCTGAGCCGGGGAGCCCTGCCCACCCCTCTTAGGAACCCTGCTCACTGGGGGCCTGGCCCCTGGGTCCTCATCCTTCCCCCTCCAGCCCTCCGAGCCCCTGCAGCACTCCAGGCCTGTGCTCAGGACCTCCTCATAGACAGGGGTGTGAGCTGGGAGTCGGGGGCCAACCCAACCCTGGGGAGTAGAAATGGGGGTCCAAGGGGGCTGCGGGGCCAAGAGAGGCCTTATAATGGCTCTTCCAAAACAGGCAGAGCCTTGAAGAGGGCCTGTGGCCAGAAGGAACAGCAGGGGAGAAGGTGCAAGCCGGGACTGAGCAGGGCTTGTCTGGAGAACAGGAGAGGACAGGTCTGGTAGGAGCACTGGGCATGGATGTGGGGACAGCAAGAACGGTGCTGGCTGGGGAGGTCAGGGCCTGAATAGGGGAAAAGCAGCTCTGTTGTCTCGGGAGATATCTGAGCAGAGCTCCTATTTCTTGATGTGTGTGGTGGGGAACGGTATGGAAAGATGGCAGCGGGGGTTGCTCTGTAAGGTCCTGTCTGCACCCCCAGTCCCGCCCTGCGTCAGCCTGGTCTCGCCCAGCCCTAGCCCCGGGCGAGGAGCCCCCCACTCCTACTTGCAGTCCTCCACCAGTTCCCTCAGCAGTTTCTCCCACTGGGGGAGCAGAGCTGGGTCCCTTGGGTTCCTCATGGATTTCAGGGCATCCAGATTGGCTTTCTGTCCAGTGGGAGAGAAGCGGCAAGTGAGCATGGGGCTCATCCGGGACAGGCTGCAGGGCTGATTGGCCCAAGATGTTTTCAGTCAGGATTTGGGGACCTTTGAAGGGTCACATGGGGCTCAGTCCAAAGCTGTCACATGCCCTTGCAAGGCTAGGATCGTCACACACCCTCCCCTCTGCCCAACAGAAGAAATGAGTGGCAGGAAGGAGCCAGGATGGATCGGGATCACGAAGGAGTTACAGAGTCCTGACCTTGGGCTTCCCTGCTGTGGGCACGAGAGTCACTTCTGAGGCAGAGGCACCAGGTGGCTCTCCTGCCTAAAACTGTTCAGTGGCTTTCCTCCTTAACAGATACTTAAGACCTTTTGTAATCTGACCCTTCCCAGCTTCTCTGGCCTTGTTTCCACATCACCTCCATGCCCCCACCGCCCCTGAACTTCATAGCACCATGGCTTTGCCCATTGTTCCCTTCTCTTCACCCCTACCATTCCCCCAGCAAACTCCTCACTCTTCAAGACTGCTCAAAATGTCACCTCCTTTTTGAATGCCTCCTCTGACTATCCTCTCTTCATCTTGCCTCCCCCACCCCCAATCTCTCTGCCTCTGTAGCTCTTGGTACTTGTGTCTGCATTGCAGCCCTACTTGCCACGCATGCTGACTATATGCACATCTGACTTCCCTGCGGGTGAAGACTGTCCACTCATCTTTGTGTCTTCGGTGCCTATGCCCGGGTTTCCATCTCAATTGGTGTGGCATGCATGAGGATGCAGGGTGACTGGTCTCCTGTGACTGTGATCCATTTTCCCAAGTCTCCCATCAATGACCCGGGTCCTTCCCCGCACTCCGTCTGCCCCGTGCCACTCACCAGGCGGTCCCGAGTGAACTGGAGGAGGTTGAGGCAGTTCATGCGGAAGCTGACATCCTCCCAGAAGGAGGTCACAGCCACCATGGGCTTGGTGTTGTACCAGGGCACGTAATGGTAGATGTTCCCTGAGATACAGAGACACATGCGGGGGGACTTTAGGGTTAGGTCCCCCCACTGTGTCCCTTCAGTGGACCTTCCCTGGGCTACTTCATTCCTGTAGGATGTGATCTGCTAAGCGTCCTAACTGGACCCCTGCCACCGGAGGGTGGGCTGCAGGACTCTCCTAAAAGAGCTAGAAGAACTTGTGCGGGATGCAGCCCAGAGAGATGAAAAACAGGGAGGGGGGATTTTAAAATTGGAAGAACAGAATGAGAGGTTCCATAGAGGACAGAGTGAATTCGAGGAGGGGCTAGAAGAGGCAAGGGGAAGAGGTGATTTTCAAAGAGAAAGTATCTTATAATTTTTCAGAATTATTGAAAGGACACCAGTTTCAGACCCTGGCACTGAGTGAATCACTGGAATGATAAATAAGCAGAGGTCCATGACTGGGGCTCTCAGATATGAGCGTGGCGATACCAGAGGGCAATTTCTTCTGCTGCTCTTGGACGGTGTACAAAAGCAACAAGGAGAAGGAAAATAACTCCATTTTCAGCAAAACAAGGAGACAGAGAAAAACTGCAGGCTCAAAATATACATAAGGACTGCCAAAAGCAACTGTGAGTGCCTGAGTAGCTGCAAGGGTGGGAGGGTGACAGAAGTCCCCTGGGGAAGTGGGAAGCTCGGCTTGATGGAAGCAGAGTACAGAAAGTGCCAGCAAAAACAGCCCCAGGACGCGCTCGGTACTCAGACGATGAAATGTGAGTTGGCAAGACTCAGACAATGATTAGAGGAAAAAACAAAAACACCCCAGCAAGAAGGGCCACCTAAAAGGAAGCCCAAGGGAGATTGGACTCTGTAGACAATTCAATGAGAGGCACAGAAATAAGAAAAATGACCCAAATAAGATGGAAACAAAGAGCCACAAAGGATCAGGGAGAAAATGACAGATATAGAAGAAAACCAAGGAGAATTGTTAAACCCATAAATGAAGCCCCTAAAAATCCTGAACGATAGAACAGAATATTTAAAAATAAAATTTAAGAAAACTCACGTGGGAAAGGGATAGTCTTTTTAACAAATGGTGTTTGAAAAATCAGATCCTCGTACACAAATTAATTCAAAATGAACGTAGAGCTAAATGTCAGAATTAAAACTGTAAAACTGTTAGAAGGAAAAATAGGAGAAAAGCTTCACGACTTTAGGGTTAGGCAAAGAGTTCTTAGATATGACACCATAAAAGAAAAAAACTGAACTTCAGCCAAATTAAAAGCATTTGTACTTCAAAAGGCACTGTTAAGAAAATGAAAAGACAAGCCACAGACCATTTGAAAATCATATATCTGATAAAGGACTTGTGTCCAGAATATATAAAGAACACTTACAACTCAATAAGACAAATAACCCAATTTAAAAATGGGCAAAAGATTTGAACAGACATATACCAACCAAGAAGATATATGAATGACTAATAAGCACATAAAAAGATGCTCAATATCATTAGATATTAGGGAAGAGCATATTAAAACCACAATGAGATACCTGTCCACAATAATAAATACATTAAACAAAATGTAATAACAAACACTGGTGAGGATGTGGAGAAACTGCAACCATCACACATCATTGGGGGAATGTAAGGTGGTGCAGGCACCTGAGAAAAGTTTGGCAGTTTCTACAAAAGCTATTCTACTCCTGCAGGGAGGAAGGTGTAGCTCAGTGGTAGAGCACGTGCTTAGCATGCACAAGGTCCTGGGTTCAATTCCCAATACCTCCTCTACAGATAAGTTAATTAATTAAAATAAAATAAAATTACCTCCCCTGCCAAAAAAAGATTTTTTTTTAATTTTTAAAAAAGTTTTCCACTCTTAAGTATATGTCTACATAGAGACTTGTATACAAATGTTCACAGCAGCTTTATTCATAATAAGACAAGAAGTAGAAGCAGAAACAATGACCCTTAACTAATGAGTGGATAAATAAATGATGAATGGTATGTCCATACAATGGAATACGATTTGATAATAAAAAGAATGAAGCACTGATATATGCTACACCATGGATAAACCTCAACATTATGCCAAGTGAAGGTCAGTTGTAAAAGACTGCATATTGGCCAATGCTGTTTACACGAAATGTCCAGGAAAAGTAAATATACAGAAACAGAAGTAGTCTAGT